AAGAGAAGGCCCAAAGGAGGTGCCAAAGAAAAGGACTTGGGGGTCAAATCCCAACCCCCGAGGAAGGAGCTAGCCAAAGTAGTAGAGAAGACACACACTTGAACCCAGGACACTTGAATCCCCATCTAGTACTTAACACTCCCTTGATGACCTGGCACTAATCTCACAAGACTCCTTTAGGAGTCTGAGGAATTTAGATCCAAAGGAAGTGGGATAGTTGGACCCACCCTTTTTAGGAGAAATCCACTTTCCCAGGGAAGTAGTACTCCCCACTCCCTGGAAGCCTCACTGTCCCCTTGTCCACTTTGTTCCCGCATAGGTCATCCAGCCTGGCACCACTGCACTCTTCTTTACACTAATAGTCATTAGTTTCAAACCCATGCCACTGCAATAGTAAGAAACACCCTCTCCAGGCAGAGAACCAACTGGACTACAGGCACTCATTAAGCATTCCAAATCCAAACTCACTGCCATGGAATCGACCCAACTCATAGCGACCCCCCCCTTGGGTTTCTTAGGCAGTATCATTAAGGAACCCCCCCCAAAAAAAAAACCAAACTCACTGCCCTTGAGTTGATTTCAACTCATAGCGACCCCTCCCTGGGTTTCCAAGGCAGTATCACTATGGAAATAGATTGCCCCATCTTCAGTCTGAGGAGTAGCTGGTGGGTTTGAACTGCCAGCACTCTGGTTAGCAGTCAAATGCCTAGGCACTACACCACCAGAGCTCCACATAGAGCATTACTTTGGGACAAAACAGACCTTGCCCTACCCTCACCTAAGGCAGGCAACGTGTTGTCCTGGCTACAGTCAGGCCCAAGGGATGAGGAAGTCAGTTTTCCAAGAGGTGAGGGAGGGAGGCAGTCAGGAATGGCTCCACAGAAGGGGCATCGTTTAAGTTGAACCCTGGGAAATGTATCTGCCAGACACTGGATACATCCTTAAGGGGAAAATATTCCAACAAAAGCAGAGCAAGCATACTGCATAGGCACCTTCAAGGAACTGTAGGTGATTCCTCAGAGCTGGAACCTAGAAGCATGGCAAGGATAGGCCTGGACAGAGAGGCAGAGACTGTGTTGCCCAAGATCCTTTGGACCAAGCCAAAAATGTATATTTTACCCTGTAAGTCAAGATTTAGGGAGTCATTGTAGGGTTCTAGAGACTAACAATGGCTTATACTTCCCCTTTAATGGCTGTGCAAGCCCAGGCAACAGACTTAATCTCCCTGTGCCTCAGTTTCCATATTTGTGAACTGGGGACAATGAGAGGTTGTATAGACTCTTTTTTATGCATTTTATTGCAATATAATTTATGTACAGTGAAATACACAAAACTAAAATGACACAGGTCAATGCTTTTTATTTTCTTTGCCATGTTCCCTCCCCTCCCCTCCTACCCCTGGAAACCAATAAAGAAATTTCCCTCCATATATAAACTTTCCTTGACCCTCCACAACATCAGACCAATACTGTATCTGTCCTTCTGTGATTGAGGTTGTATGGACACTCAGAGTTTAAGAGTCGAATGGATCAAAAGCGTAATAGACTGAGCCACCACAGAAGCATCTGAGAGGATTTTTAGAGTAGTTGTAAAAGACATTATTATACATGTGAAGAGCTCAGCACAGCAAGGATAGTAAATGTTGCAGTAATCATATTGGTAAGAACAACCATAAACTATTATCATTGCCTCATTTTAGAAAGACTTGTTTATGTTTTCAGATGGAGAATAAAATAGAAAAGAAGAAGAATGGACCAGGGAGATCACAAGGGCGGCTATTGCTATATTCCAGACAAGATCGGCACTTCAGGGGCTACGGCCACAGACTACTGCTATATTCCAGTGAAATGATGCCAGCCTCAACTAACGTGAGGCATTGGGGAGGGACTGCACAAAACCAAAATGGGAGATGTTGAGAAAACTTTCTGGAATGGATGACTTTTGCAAACTGGAAGTAGTGAATGAGAGGGTGGACTTGCCTGCTAGTTGCTGAGATAGAAGATACGGTTTGGGAGACTAAAAGGGGGGGTTGACATAGTGGTTATTGACATGTTAAGTTTAAGAATGTCCATGATGCAGGAGGAAGCAGTGAAGCATACATGTCTGGAAAGAAGTCATCTAGGGAATGGAGCTGAGAGAGGCACAAAGCTGGTTGCTGAAGCCACTGGAGAAGAGAACATGGCTCAGGGACTGTGGTAGTCTTGAAGAGGGAAGGACAGAAACTTGCCAAAATACTTGAGGGAGTGAGTTGAAGTCTCACTTCATCAACCATATCAGATAATAAGAGACCCTTGAAGTTTTTGTCTGCATCAACCGTTAAGAATGCTAGATATTTTGTAAGTTAAACTTTATTTTCCATGCACTAAGGACAGTTTCTATTTAAAGTACTGAAATAAAAGTGAATAATGAATTCTTCATGTGGACTGTTTCTTAAATACAGATCTTCCTATCTTAGGTACCAGGGCCCTTTTAACATCTGAAATTTGAAATGCGCATCACCTCATCTGATGGGCTTTTAACCCATATCCTCTGCAGACAAGCAAGGTCATCAGATAAGTGCTTCTTCCACTCTGCTGAGCCAAAGCCAACCTGCCTTTCCCAACTCAACACAAACGCCACCTCTTCCTCCCACTTTGGCATGATCAACCCTTCCTCTGCTACTCAAGGCAGCCAACATGGAAAGAGTTCCCTACAGCATTGGTTTAATCCTCAAAGGTAGTCCTTTGTACATTTCTGCCAAAGTAGCATCAGTATGTTCTGCAGTATCTTCTGATCATCCTCAAGGAAGTGGTGCCTGGGTCAGATTGGGGAAGGAAGAGCAGGACAGAGTCATGATATAGGGATGATGGGCCATAAACCTTTGTTCCTTCAAAAAGATGATTCTTTCCCCTCTTTCTTTTTTTCTTCCTTCCCCACTCTAACACAATCATTTCCTCATTCTCTGTGTTTTATTTTCCCCTGGGAGTTGGGTGGCTGCCTAGTCAAAATTCTTACTATTAACTGGTGGGTGATCCTTTTGCCCTGCAAAAATGCCACCAATCCAGGCAGGCTGAAGAGATATCCTGGGAAAAGAACCATTTCCCCAGGGTAGCTTTCCAGTGAAAACCTCAAAGCAAAGAGCAAGTATACTTCCCTGAATATTTAACATGCCCTGCATGAGAGGTTCCTAAGCAGAATCTGCTCTGTTCCTAGGACCTCCCCAACTTGTCCAGTATCCACTGCAGCAGTACCCCCTAAGTACACTCACTCAAGGTCCACCTAGCTGTTTGATCCTATTTTTTCTAAAACTTGATTAAGCCACTATATATATTTTCTGAAAAATAAATCTGCCCCTGATGTGTTTTCTCTACTGCTCTAATGGATATAAAACAAAGATGGAGAAGGTACGGGCTGCTACACTTTTTCATTAGGCTACAATGAGAAGTGGCAAACAGAGTCCATCTCAACCTTCATCAGTGAGGGAAGGGGATTTGGGGCCAGGTGATTTCCATTCCCCACCAAGAGCTACAGGGGACTGGGCACCTTTTAGAAGCCAAAGGAGGCAATCAGTAGGAGCTGAACTGACTCCTTCCTTTGCCTAAGCACAGCTCCTGGAATACCCACAACGCAGGCCCCACACACACTACACACGAAAAACACCACTCTCAGAAACATTTATTGAGGAGGACCAATATTCTCAATAAGCGATGAATCACTTTATGGAGGGAAATATTCCTCTGGGAAGTGCTAGGGAAGCATTTTCTCTCTGAAGGGAGGAGACAAATCTCTGAACACAGTGCCTTGGGCAGTGGAGTGGGTGGCCTCAGGCACCTGGCAGGCTTCACTCATGCTGTTGTTGTTGTTATTTGCCGTGGAGTCGGCCAGAGTCGGCCGACTCATAGCGACCCCTCCTTGGGTTTCCGAGGCAGTATCACTACGGAAGTAGATTGCCCAACCTTCCTTCTGAGGAGTGGCTGGTGCGTTTGAACCACCAGCCTTCTGGTTAGCAGTCAAGTGCCTTAGGTACTACAATACCAGAGCTCCTCTTCCCATCCCTAGTAACCATCAAAGAATATTTCTTTCCATGTGTAAACCTTTCCTTGACTTTTTCTAATAATTGACTCATACAATATTTGTCTTTCTCTGATCCGATTTAAAACATCAGCTGTGTTTTAAGGTGTGATGCATCAGGATCTTGAAGAACTGATATTCTTGGCAATTGGGGACTTTTAGTAATCTGGTCAGTTTCTATTTCACTTGAAATCACATTTTCCTTTGGGAGTTTCCCAACTCTATGGTTCTTCATGGTGTTACTAGATTCTGATTGAAGAGCAAAGTGCTCCTTGGCCATGAATATCTCCCTGGACACACCAGCCATGGGTAAATGTTTTAAATACCACCCTTTGCCCTGGGGCATTCCTGCTGTATCTCTGGAACTTACACTCTTGTCTCTTGGCTTATGTCTAGTCCATTTGGCTTGTGGGCAGCTCTGGGCTGTGTCTGTTGGGTATTACAGTCTTACTCTGACTTGTTTTGTTTGTTTTCTGTGTTTGAGAGACATTATAGAAATCTCTCTACCATCCTTAATTACCTGGAAATCTTCTGTATGCTCAAGATTGGTATCAGTGGGTCACTGTCTCAGGGCCTCCTGCCCTTCCTTGTCCACAAGTGAGGTGGCAGCTAGAGAACAATCCATGATGGGGACTGAATTTATTATCTTCTCTTCCCAAAACATTTGAGGGCTTTCTGCAAGGGGCTTGAAAACCTCAATTTCAGAGCCCATTCTGGATATATAGGGGTTGTCAATGTGGGCAAATTGCTATAAGAATAGGAGAAAGATGGGCACTCTGTCAACTTAAAGATTCCTTTGGATTCTGTGACTTTGCAGGGAAGGCCCCTTTTTACCCTCATGCAAAAACATTTAATAATGCCTTCCAACCTCTGTTTTGTGATTGAATCAATAAAGAGAACTATTCAGGCAGTAGTCCCCACCCACTAATGTTGCCAAATGTGTTTCATTTTCATCTCTTTTCCTGAGATTTCTCAGGAAAAGGCAATGTCTTCTTGACAGTGTGCCATGAACTATGGATAATCTCAGGGATCCTATCCTCCTTGATTTGTGTGTTAAAGGCATTTTCTAGTTGTTTCTGATCTAAGTTTACCCCTGAGACACTTGAACTACTCCCTGACAGACTTAGCCTGTAACTTTTTGCTTCTTTTTTGGAGTCAAACTCCAGAACCCTAACTGAAGAGCTGTCTGGGTCTTTTGACAGATGATGTTTTAGGACACTGTCTAGGTTATATCCCTGACATTCCTCTTGTTCTTCTCTAGGTGAAGAACTTCTAGGCTCCTATCATAGAACCTTCTCCTGTTGCTTACATCTATGCTGTTCCAACTCTTATAATCCTGGATCCCTAAGTGCTCATTGATTCAGCTATCTCTGGAAATTCATCTGCTGGCTGCCTCAATAACAGAGACTCATGGATCCTGAAGGGCTGGCCCAACCAGTGTGGGATGGACCTATTTCGAAGGTGTTTTTCAATGACTCTTTTGTACCTCACTGCTGAAAAGAAAATTACAGGAATGAAAGATATTGGAGGTTGGGCCTAGTAGGGCTAGTGGTGCTGAAGGAAGTCAGGAGCTAGAAGATAAAACGCTTCCTGAGACCTTTTGACAATATTGGATATATGGCAAAAATCTTCCAGTTGCTTCTGCACCACGAGCCACTCCAAGTGGTGAATTTCATCTTGAGACTGTGTCTTATTCTGGTATATAATCTGGGGTGCAGGTGGTGGTGGGATTTGGAACTGGGATTGAAGGTAAGACTGGAGCTGGACCTGATACAGCTTCTGGGACTCATGTAAGCTTTGAGGCAAAGTCTGAGTCAATATCTCAGGCAAGGACAGAGATAGGAGTTGAGAAAGTAATGGAGATTCTTCTTCTTGTCTTTGGCTTGGGAGGACATTTGAAATGCTGTTGAAATAGACAAAGCCTAAGGAACACAGACAGCTGAGACCAGGATAGTATACACCAGGGACTCACTGTGCAGAGAGGGGAGACCCCAGAAGAGCTGGATGTGTTGCTGATTTACATAGTCCCCACAGGTGTTAGGATATGGGGACTCCTGATGAATGTGAAGTTTGTTTGGTTTGTCTCCCATATTCCAGAAGGCTAAAGAGTCTTATTTTTCAGTTATTGATGAGAAAATTTTTTTCTTTTTCCTTCAACATCAGAAAGTTTCTTCTCTTTTTAACCTGTTTTGCCAGGATATCAGGACTCAGAAAAGAGAGGTTACCAGCCTCTACAGAGTTGGTTGCAAAGTTTCCCCAATTTTCATCTCTTGGTTTAAATCACACTGTGTCAGTGTAGAGGGAAACCAGTCCTTGGCATGAACTGGCCAACAGGAGAATTCCCTAATAGACATACTACAATGGTTTGTGCCTGTGACCCTTGGTACATAAGAGGCCAACCCATGAAGGCTCACTGGATATGAGCTCTCAGGGATAGGCTTCTGTGAGATTGGTATCAATTTCGACTGAGTGACAGTCAAAGTGCAGTCTGTTGGTGGTGAAGCAGACAGGGCTAGTGATGTGCAATGACAAGTGAGTGCATCAGTGAGATTCACTTCATGGGACAAATATGATAAGAGGTTCATATCTTGAGACAGGATGAGGTCCAGTGAGGAGACGGTGTTCAGAGACAAAGCAGGATCTGGTTGTGGAACATGATTCACTTTCTGAGTGTGATGTAGGAGGCATGGGGAGAAGGCAAATGGTTGTGGTGGAAAATGGTCCACTGGGAATGTGGAATCCAAGGGGGAAGCAGGCTGTGGTAGCAAAGTCACCTGGTGGTGAAGGTGAAAGAAAATCAACTAATGGGGTTATCAGGTCAGGTGAGCAAATGGAGAGAGGTACAGAGGGTTCAGGCAGAGAGGCTGGTCCTGAGCCTTCTGGAGGCTGTTCTGAGATGGCCAGAGTGAACGACAATTCAGTCACAGGCACTGTGGAAGCCACAGGAGACACACAGGGAGCAGCATCTTCCACGGGTTCCCCAAACAGCAGCCGATTGACCTGTGTGTGCAGTTGCTCTATTACATATCTCAACCTCACAGCTCATGAAAGTGGATGATGTCATAATGCTGGACCAGAAGGCTGCAGAGACAGAGGTACAAAGCTACAGCTAGGACCAGAACAAGAACAGGAGAGCCTACTGGCCTGGCAGGGGTGGGGCTGCCTGAAGCCCACAGCCTTTTCACTTGCCCTGTATCCCACATCACAATGCACCTACCATTCATCTCTGTCCCCAAGGTATACATTCACATTCCCACTGCCATGGCTAGCCATACTATGGCATAATAAGCTGCACTGAGGCTCTGGAATTGCATACCAAAAACTAGTTGCTGTCAATTCCAACTCAGAGTAGAACTGTGTTCCACAGGGTTTTCAGTGTCTGATTTTTCAGAAGTAGATTGTCAGGCTTTTTTTAAATAAAATGCCTCTGGGTGGACTTGAACGTCCAGCCTTTCAGTTAGCAGCCAAGCATGGTATCTATCACCCAGCGGCTCTTAGCAATGCATAGACCATGCTAAAAGAGGGAAGAGGAAGGTAGGGGAAAAATAAATCACCTATTCAGAACAGAAAGCAGCTTTCTTGCCTTCTCTCCTTCTTTCCTGTAAGCTATCCAACCTGAGAAACTAGGAGAGAGGGTTATATGTGATTGAAGGTAGAAGCATTGGTCTCCCACAAGGAGTCCCCCTTCAATGGAAGATCCTTAGGATATTAGACTCTATAAACTCCACAAGAATCAGTAGACAGTTCAAATCATCAATGATAGTATTAACAAGGCACCTATTTGTATGCTACTTCATCATTTATAAAGTACTGTTACACGTATTATTTTATGTGCTGCTCAAAGCTAAACTACCTGCCCAAAGTCAGGAAAAAGAAGTCTGACTCCAAACCAACCAGTAGTTATTCCTCAACACTTCACACACCTGCCTATTAGACTACACCTATTGTCCACCTCCACCACTGATTCATGTCCACAGATAGAGAGCAGGGAGTCTCAGGTTCTAGCTCCCTTCCCATGAGCCTCTCCTTTGAGGGCTCTGTTTCTGACTAGCAACTGACATCCTCAGAGATTGTGAACCTGGGGCTCATGGAAGGAAAAGGAAGAGTCACCTTTAGAAAGCCCAGGAGGAATAGGTAGAACCTTACCTTGAGACATTCTACCTCTCCTCCTCCTTTTGGCTCTGCCCTTATGCTGAGGGAAAAAAGAAAAAGAAAAAAGAACACAATGAGAGGCTGGTACTCATCTCTCACTCCTTTTTCTAGGAAGCTGGGGGACAGTCTTTATCCATGAATAATATGACTATTTTCATGAATAAAGAGTCAGCAAAATTGAGGGAAATCCTCCATAAGGCAAAGCCACGAAAGTGGGCCCAAACATACCAACAATGGAGGATGACACAAAACTGGGCATTGTTTCATCCTGTTGTACATAATAAGGTCAGCATTAATTGGAGTCAACTCAGTGGCTGCTAACAACATTTTAATAACCAGAACTTCTCATTCCTTCCTTTCATTCATTTTTAAAGGTGGTAAAATATTTATGTCTACAAGAAGCATACTTGATACTCTAAGTCAGCCCTCATTCTGCTCAGTGACCAACAGTCACATGTGTGCTCTCTCAGATGGGACCCTGTATCGCAGGTCAGAGCTCAGGCTCCAACTTCTGCTCAGAGGCTCTCAGAGTCTCAGCACTATTCTACTGATCAGCCCAACACCAAGAAAAGCTTGGTCAAATGACATCTGATACAGAAATGTAACTGGTGGTGGCATAGTGCCTAAGGCATATGATTGCTAACCAGAAGGCTGACAAAATCCACCAGCCACTCCTCAGAAGGAAGGTTGGGCAATCTACTTCCATAGTGATACCACCTTGGAAACCCAAGGAGGGGTCTCTGTGAGTTAGATCCAACTCAACGGCAGTGAGTTTGATTTTTTAATTAACTTTGGGACTTTCTTCTCCTGCAGTCCAGTCTAGTCCATACACTGCCATCGAGTTGGTTCCGACTCATAATGACCCCTCCTTGGGTTTCTGAGGCGGTATCACTACAGAAGTAGATTTAGCTGGTGGATTTGAACTGCCAGCCTTCTGGTTAGCAATCTAATGTCTTTGGCACTAGGCCACCAGAGCTCCTTCTATTCCTTCAGGGATCCTAAAATTTCTAAATAATCCAACCTTTTTAGAACAGAAAGCAGCTTTCTTGCCTTCTCTGCTTCTTCCTTATAAGCTAGAATCACTGTGTTTAGGATTCTACGCAGAAACTCTCCACTGCACCCAGTTGGTCTGTGAACTTCTAATGGAAATCTTGGCTTGTTGAATCCTACCCTTGCCCAACCTCTTCCCATAGAACAATGATCTATCCTCTTCTCAGTCTTGCCACTACAGCTGTGTGTCTGTGCCAACATATTTAATTTAGAAAAGTGGGATAAAAATGGAAAACAACCACAGAGAATCTTTGCTGGGAGCTCAGCCCAGGGTTCCTTATCTTTTGGTGCCTTTGTTGTTCCATAAGGCCAGTAAATATGGAGTCCATAGTAGGTGGTACAGAAACAGAAGGAGCAATCCCCACCCACCCAGGAAGGTGAAGGTGGGGTCACTATCCAGGAAAGATGAGTGGAAGCTCAAGGAGGGCTCAGGATAGATATTCAGAAATGAGAGAAAAGTCTTTATCATTCCAAATCACACTATAATAAAGTCCCAGGCCTGCATAACAAAGTTGTGAAGTCATAGAGAGTTTATGATGGCGGTGGTGGGGGAAGGGGACAACATGAGGAGGCTGAGCCCACAGCCCCTCCCCCACAATCCTGCCCAGTCCTACCCTATCATTCTATTATCAAACATCATTCTTTTATTATATATTTACTTTAGTTAATTTTTTCTGTTTATTCCATACACAACATAGATACTGAGTCCTCTTTGCTGTCTGGAGACTTTGACTTAGACCCCACCAATTCCACTGCCCTACCACAGTGAGCTCTGGTGGTGTAGTGCTTAAGGTTCAAACCCATCAGCCACTCCTTGGAAAGAAGACTGGGCAATCTACTTCTGTAGAGATATTGCCTCAGAAACCCAAGGAGGGATCTCTATGAGTCAGAACCGACTGGATGGCAGTGAGTTTTTTTTTTTTTTTTGGAAATGTTGAAGTACTGCCTGGAATTCTTCTCATACCAGGACATGTATACTCTGAGGATTACAGATGGACACAAATCATCCTTCAATAGAATGTTTTTCTTTCCCTAACTCAGGTATAGAACACTAAGTTCTTCTACATTTATTTAGCTTTGTGAATGTTCAATGGCAAATTTTCTTTATTATTATTATTATTAATTTCAGTCAGCACTTGTTATTTTCAGAGGGGCTGAATCAAATAATTAAAATTAATAATTCATTGTTTAGCATTCATTTATTGTATATTTATTGTAAGTATACAATAAATGTAAATAATTAAGCTTTAAAATGATTTGGCAGGTAAGTTTGTAGCACTTATTTTTCTGACATTTGTGAAGCTTAAATTGCATACAAATTTGGGGGGCATGTCCTTCTAGTACGCACACATATACACATCCTTTGACAAAATAATCTGTTATTTTCTAATCTAAGAATCCAGCATTTTTCATTTTATTTCAACCTTCCGCTTTTTGTTGTGATCACACTTTTTATTCTGACAAAAAATACAGACAGTCCCTGCCCCCTACCTCAGTTTCCTAACAAGTATGTGACCCCATTCTTCCCCAAACCAGGGATAGATTACTTTTTGCTTAACTATTGATGGGAGCTCTGGTGATGTAGTGCCTAAGGCATCTGACTGCTAACCAGAAGGAAGATTGGGCAATCTATTACCATAGAAATACTGTCTCGGGAACCCAAGGAGGGGTCACTATGAATTGGGATTGACTCAACAGCAGTGAGGTTTTTTTTTGAAACTACTGATGCCTCAGCCTTAGGGATGGCAGGGTGGGACTTGAGAGTGTCAAAGGGTGAGGACATAATCTAATCTTGAGTAACCTTACCTGATTACCTTTGTGAGCATCTAAATGTGACTTTTCTTCAGAGTACCCTGCCACAGAGAAAGGTTGAGTAGCTCTGCTCTAAATCAGCACCCCGTCTATGTCCAAAAATCACCTACCTGTCCGTACTCAGTACCTGTGTATACTCCAACTCTCCCTGTCAGGCCTAAAAATCCTAGTATTTTTCCTCTCTTTTCCAAAGTCTTATTTTCTCACTCCGTTATTATCATGACACCTGTCCTCTGAACTGGTCTCCTAATTTCTCATGTCTTTCTTAAAATATCCATGGCCTTGGCTATTAGTTGATCTCCTGTGAAGGGGTAAGACAGACTTCCCACCAGACAGTCTCCTTAAAATTATGCAGGAGCAGGTAACTGGCCAAAAGTATAAAATCTGCCAAAAGATGCCACTTCCTCCACCCTTCGATATGCAACCTCAGCCAAGTCTTCATTTAATAAATATTTACTGCTGTAAACTAGGAGACAGAAGTATCTGTAGATCATGGTTTCTGCCCCTCAGGACTCCTGGGGTTGATGTAGAGAGAAGTCCTACACAGTTCAAGAGTTACACAACAGTACAGGAGAGGTCCCCCAGGTGGCATTTGTTAACTGCCCAATGCTCACTACAGATGAGGCACAGGAAAGAGATCAAAGGAGGGTCAGATATTGCGTGTTGTAAGTGCTCAAAGATACTGTTCACTTCAGGAAGGCACGCCTGTCTGTCTTCCCAACTTTCTGATGCTAATGAACAATTCTGGGAAGATGGTCAAGAACAGCTTCTCTCTTTCTACCTGGCATTTGTTGGCTACATATCCTTAGATATAATTTATGTGCCCTGAATAAAAATATATAAAAAGTTTCAATAGAAAGACTTTTTCCCAAATGCTAATGAAATTACTCATCTGAACATGATAGAAGTGCCTTTAAAATTTAAAGGAACAAGATACTAAAGGAACAACTTTTTTTTTTCTTTTGGTACTACCCGAAACAAACTCCATTGATATTCCATGAGAGAGCCTCATATCACTTATGTTTTTATTTGTTTAACTTATAGAGCATTTTAACTTCAATGATCTCAGTGGATTTTCACAACCACTCTATGAGGTAAACAGGGCAGATACTACTGTGCTACTTTTATTAATGAAAAAACCAAAGCTCAGAGAGGGTGACTTCCCTGGATCACACAGGAACTAAGCACAACAGCCCTGACTATTAAATCCCCTACATTCTCATCCTTTTTGTTTTAAACAATATTAATAAATAATGTTGTAAAATGAATTACGCTCTAGTCCTAAAATTACACTAGTTTTGTGGCTATTGATAGTCACAATTGTCTATTAAATTTGAGAAGTAAGGAAAAGCTATTTTTGGTAACCTTTCCCTCCTTAGGAACCCTTTTCTTCCCACCCTTAGCACCAGTGCCTGAATAGGTTTCCTTTTATCCCTCTCTTCTAAACCTGCTTCCAAGAATTGTATTGCAAAGCACTCAGTGAGGTATAAAAGAATTGAGTTTAAAATGTTATCCCTCCAGGAATACATTTCACATGTTTTAGATATAGCCAGCCTCTGAGCCTTCTAATAACGCTCTAACCAGAGGATTCCAGGCAGCCATCAGAAGGTGGCAGAGGTGGCTTTTGAGATAATGAAGTCTTTCTTCCAAATCCTAAAACATCTTCCAAACTGGATTGTGAGGCCGGCACAAGACCGGGCAGTGCTCTGTTCTGTTGTACACAGGGTCACTATGAGTCAGAGCCGACTCGATGGAACCTAACAACAACAACCCACACAGAAGTCTGGTCCCAGATTTCATACTGCCCTTGGTTATTGTTCCCAAGGGGAAGCATTTTCTAAAAGTCTGCTAGAGAATACGTTAGTATCTGAGAAGATTCAGTACAGGTGTCATTAGTTTCAGATTTTCATTTGTGCTCAGTTTTCTAGGGATCGTCTCAAATGCTCTCTTACTCCATCCTGATCACTGTTCCTTGTCATCAGCCACTTGGAGGCACCTGTTTTGAGGATCCCAGAAAGCCTAAGGGAAGGATTGAGTCTGGTGCAAAATTCTTTAAAACTGCATTTAAAAACAGCACCTGTCAGTTGTTTTTCATTCATACATACAACAAACTTGTATTGAGCTCAAGTATGAGGTATTTCTAGTATTGCAGAAATATCAGCAAAATCCGTTTCTTCT